ATTAAAACATTGAAACATCAGTTAATAAATTTTGAAAAATCTTTGAAACTATTACAATTTTCAAATGTATTTCTTAACTCATGTAGGTTAACGGAGATGAAAAAAACAAATTTTAGAGTAATGATAACATTGATTAGCAGTCAGATCTCCAAGATACACATACTTTTATAATTTTATAATGGTAGTTTCTTGAATGCTTTTAGTGAAAAAAAAGGAAGGGTATATTTAATTTGAAAAAAACCAATTAAAACTTGAAGACAAACTGGAGCACAAGTTGAAATAGCAAATTGTATTTTTTTATATTTTTGATGTGATCAAATCAAAATTAGTTTCGGAAGGTATTGTTAATTCACTCCAGTAATTTTGTCCATCTAAAAAATTATGCTTGGCTGTATTAGGTAAGGCTACCATTTTGTTCTTTTGACTGGAAATAAGACAGAAATATGAGATATCCAAAAAACTGGCGTATAAGCTATTAACTACTGTATAAAAATAGATGAGTGCAGAAAAACGCGTAACTTCTGAAGATTGATGAATCATTGCCATCAATGAAAGATATAGCAAGGAAATAAAATATTATAAAGCTCGCTACCGGAAATAGCGGTCAAATTAGTAATAGAAGAAAGAAAGAACAAAGTGAAAGGCACAAGAACTATTAGGTACTTTCGAATAGTTTTCGAAGCATTTTTCTTCACCAAGAATTAGAAATTACAATAAAGTTAGTCAAGGCAGATCGGTGAAGGTTTAAAAAATTAGACTATTATGATATAAAGACACAAAAGAAATAATTTGATACTTGGGCAATAGTGTTATCGTTAGTGATAATGCAATTTAACATTTGCATTAATCATTTAACAACTGTAATCGCTCATCATGAATGATTTTCACAACTTGATATGGCTAGTAAAGTAGATAGCAAACGATCAGAAGTATTACAGTGACGTCGTGATACGCGAAAATTTTTGCATTCATTTTTTTGCGATTTCTTTTCATCCTTTTTTTCACTGTAATTAAAAGCTTAAATGGATAAAACTTCAGAGATCCTTTCATATTCATTTTGCTATATTTTTGCATTTCCAAATATGCTGAAACATATATGCCAGAATTTTGTTTTGCATATCTAGCAATCAAAGTAGATAAATTACGAGTAATTCAAAATAATTCATTGAATAAATTTGCCCTTCGATGATAAAATTTTTATAAACTATTTTCACAGACTAATGTTATAGCACAATGTGACGCAATCAAACCATAAACTACAATAGAAACATGCTATTTTTCATTCTGAAAAAGTTTTTTCCATTATGATTAGAATAATGATTCTCTGAAGAAAAAATAATGTTTCTATCTGAGTTTAAAATAAAATTATAGTGATTAAAAATATTACGACTCCATTGAATCTTTGCATGTAAATTTATTTTCACTGCAAACAAGATTTTTGCATGTCTGTTCTTTTACACATTTGTAGTTGAATACCATATATTAGCATCATTACAGTCCAGTTTGTTTTTATTTGCATCATCTGAATATGAAATAACAAAGACCAACTTATAAATCACTTCAATTTCACTTAATTTCTCCAATTTAAAAGGAAATTATTGTCTGTAAATCAATTTTAACAACAATTCTCTCTAAAATTGAATACGAAAAAAAACGAAGACACATTTTAAAAAATTTCAGAAATAATAAATTGCAATTAATAAAGTAAATTTGCTAATATGGCATAAAGTATATCAGCTGCACGTTTTAGATGCAGAAACTTCCTAATTCTTGCAACGAAAAAAGCATCACCGTAATGAATTTGAAATTTTTTTCAGCAACTGCAGTCAAAATTGTTTATTTGTACGAAAGATGATTGTAATGAAATGCATTTACAGCATGAAAATGAATGACTGTTTCTTCTATTTTTTCTACCATTGTGGAAGATTGGCAGAGCGGAATGCAAAAAAAAGTATGTAAATTTTTTGGAAATAAGTAAACCGGAATAAACAGCTTTTAACGGGAATAGGAAAGAAATGAGACGCATGCCACGTAGTGAACAATACCAAAATATAGGAAGGTAGTCTTGAGAAACAAGGAAATTTATTCTTTTTTTCTAATGATTTTTTCAACTTGTCCTTCACCTTTCAACACTTTTTGGCATTGAAAAAATTCTAGCCAAGTATACAAATACAAAAAAATTAAAAAAAAAGTACCCACGCATGCACATGAATAATTTGAATTCTCAGATCTAAAAAGATTCAGAATATGTTTTTTAAAAGATCTTGTTTCTACCTACCTTGTCATTTAATATTTTTCTTGTTTGTTACTAAAGTTCACAAATTTCAAGTTTTTTTTTTTGTTACATTACATTATATTGTACATTTTAAATAGAAGAACAAGTAAAATAAAAACAGTATATAATAATACATCAAACCAAATATTTTAATTTCATTTTCCGTGATTGTTGAAATTATAAAAAAGGTAATTACAGTGATAAAAAGTGAATGCAAATAAATCGAATGAAAATGATAGGATAAGATCACCGATTAATTAGAAAAAAGTAAAATCACTGATTACTCAATAAAAAAAATTGAAAAATTGATAATTATTTTTTATCGCTCAATCAATCAACTGTTACCATTTCGAAAGCAAAAACTTTTTAACATGTGTTTTCGTTATTGCTCTCATTAAATTAAAGATTAGCTAACTAAATTATACTAACTATATAATAAATTTAAATACTTCTCGCACACTATAAAACAAAACAAAATTCAGAATGAACAATATTATTTGATACTTTAAATATAATGATTTTACATTTGAACACTGTCTATATTTAAAGTTATAAGAAGTGCAAACTTGCAAACGAACACTGCACACTGCAATTTAAGTGCCACTGCTCATATCAATCATAATTTTTGAAAATGATGTTCAGAACCATCAAAAACTTTTATGTAAAGCAAAAGAAATACAAAGCTTATAAGTGTAACATTGATATGTTATGCATGATTGCAGAAGAAAAAATATGTATGCCAAAATGATAACTAAAAGATTTATTATCTGTATGTAGCATTAAAATTCTGATTTGTACACAAAGGTATGTGAAGATGCTTACGAAGAAAATATAGAAACATGCAAAAAACCCAAAGAATTTTCTTTTGCTCACTTGTGCTAAGTAAGTATTTCTAACCTTTTAATTTATGATCAACTATTTTATTTCTTTCAAAGATTACAAATTGCATACATTCACTATCTTTTTCTTCTGAAATTTCAATCACATTCTTCTGATCATGCTGTTTGAATCACTAGTAACTAAGTGCAATTTAGTTTTAAAGCAGATTTAAATTAAGAAAAAAGATAAGACTGTTTATTAGACAAAAGTATCTTGATTGAGGAAAAACAGCTTCGACCTTATTTTCGGCATTTTCTTCGCTAAATTTTTTAGTTCATTAAATAATAAATATCAGAATTCTATGCAAAAAAGTACTAGAAAAAATTCAACTTTTGTCATTTTCATTCATGACAAAAGTGACGAATTCAAAAATAAGTGATTTAAGTGAGCAATTATGATGAATTTTTTGATAATTTCCAAAATAACCGATTATAATATTACAGTTCACAGCAATTTAATTTGTAATACATCACGTTAGTCAACAAGTTCCACACCTCACCTTTTTTTACTTTCTAACTTCTCATTTCCAAGGTCTCTGAATATAATAATCTAGTGTAAATTATCTTATAAGTAATCATCATCTATTCCTGACAATTATACTTGAAAAACAGTTGCCGCAAGTATTTGCTAATTACACTTTGATATGCATAACCTATAGAAGTACCTCGATTGATAACACACACTAACACTTTCATTCAATCATGAACGATAGATATATTGCGAAGAAAAAAAATAAAAAGCACTCATTATGCTATTTTTTTTTCATATTTAATTAAACTGAATTAATCAAAATTCACTCAGTTTAATTCCCATTTTGTCTAAGAGAATACTTTACAGCAAATAATTGTTAAAATGTCGTTCTATCAG